ACCTGGCAACAGGATGCTCTCTCAAAACTCTTTCATCAGGTGGTTGGCCTGGCTAGAGCTATCCCAACACACTGCTTGTACATTACCATATTTCCCGGCTTATTAGACGCATTTTTTTTTTACATAAAATGTCTCCAAAAACCAGCCTGCGTCCTATAAACTGAAGGTCAGTGATGGGAGCTATGAGTTGGAGGTGCGGGGTAAGCTGTAGCTCTCCCAGTTATGTCCAATGCCGAGCCATTAAAACTAAAACAAGTTTTATAATCGTGTTTTATAAGCTGCGAAATATGATATTATTATACACAATAGTGATATTATACATAATACGGGAGATTCTCAACATGTTTGTAAATTAAGGACTTACTGTAGACCTAAGCCTTGCTCCTGAAGTAGTATCATTACCGCACAGGATAATACAATCCATATTTTTTTTCAATATGCCGGCCGTCTCCCACTGAGGAAGGTGCCCAGAAAAAGAAGAAAACTATAAACTTTGTCTTCTTTTTACATTTAGTAATTTATACAAGAGTTGGGGTTACTAGCACCTTGCTCCAGGCATTTAGTAATTTGTACAGGTGTTACTAGCACCTTGCTCCAGGCATTTAGTAATTTATACAGGTGTTACTAGCACCTTGCTCCCAGCATTTAGTAATTTACACAGGTGTTACTAGCACCTTGCTCCCAGCATTTAGTACCTTATACAGAAATGGTTACTAGCACCTTGCTGCCAGCATTTTAGTCACCTCTTATGACACGCACGACTTGCAGAGGAAGAATTCTTCTCTATTTCCCCATGGAGATATTTATATATTCGTTTGTTACTTCTTGGAACTCGGAATAAAATCAGAGGATAAATGCTTCTCCTAGTAATATTTCAACCTTTCCTAAAGAGCCAATAATATTTTTGTCTTCCACATCCAGTCTCACCTGAGTAATAAAAACTGTCTACAACGAAATCTGTAAAATCAATTTTGGCAGACCACTGGGCAAATTTCTGTATATTATCATTCTACATTCATCAGAGCTACTGAATAAATGATGGTGAAAGTGTTTCCTTCTTCGGGTCATTTTAACATAGCAAAAAAAATGCCTGAAATGCACCGCATATTTGTGGTTATCTTTTATGCCTGACGTTATTTTATTACATGTAAACAATGTCTGCAAACTGCATAAAAAAATATAGTACAGTGGACCCCTGGTTTACGATCAGCTCCCAATTATGTAAGTGTATTTATGTAAGTTTGTACGTGTATGTTTAGGGGTCTGAAATGGACTAATCTACTTCACAATATTCCTTATGGGAACAAATTCGGTCAGTACTGGCACCTGAACATACTTCTGGAATGAAATAATATCGTAAGGCGGGGATCCACTGTATTTGAATTTTGATAATAAAAGAAGAAAAATCAGAATACAATAGCTGTATACAGATTTTTTTCTTGGTTTATGAGAGATTATCTTTTGCCAAGTTGGGCTATTTTGTATTATTTTAGCTGGTGGAATGTGACGTTTCTGCACTTATAAGTAAAGTTTGTAATTACTGGTGCAGGGACGTAATCGGGGGGTTGGGGGTGGAGGGTGTTTGGGGGGATAAAAAAAAATACTGAAAATTTGACAATGGCACCAGAGGGATGAAAATGTCCCCTGTAAGTTATCGTTAAACACTGAATACAGTCAACTCTGTCTAGTGATTTTTTTTTTTTGTAAATGCAACTGAAAAAGTGCATGCAAAATTGTATAGCTTATATAGCTAAGTCTTAATTAGTGCAAAATTAATGTTAGTTTTCCCCAAACTCTTCAAATGGTGTAAAAATTACGTATAATTTGAATAATGCGTCCAGTAAATAACAAAAAGGCACAATACCGTGACTGAAACGATACACAAATAACCTGCACATAGAAGAGAGAAGCTTACGATGACATCTCGATCCGACTTGCAAAGTTACAAAGTAACATTGTGACTTTGTAAATGGTCCAAGTCGGACCGGAACGTCGTCGTAAGCTCCTCTCTTCTATGTGCGGGTTATTTGTGTAATGCATCCAGTCCACGACATTCATTATTCACACTAACTGAGACCTAACAAAACTATGAAAACCGTCCAGGTGCTATTCAATTTTTGATGTATATTTTTCAATCACTTTAAAAATAAAATTACACTATATACAGGGGTTTTCTAAAAAATCTACTGTACTTTGTTAAACTGGTCTCTGTACAGAAGAACAAATTATACCTTTTTATCAACTTCTTGGATTTACAAGAGTCACATAGGTTGACCTGAGTGTCCTAAAGAGTCGCAGTTCCAGCAAAAACGGGAAAAAATCACATCCATGGGGTACATGTTGCTCCTTGAAAAAATATTTTTTTTAATGCTAGGACTCAAATATTTGCAAACGCTGCACTGTATGGGTCAATATACCTTAACCTCAAGTGTTCGTTATATCTGATCTATCTACTGCACCTTCACAGTCTACCTACTGCACCTTCACAGTCTACCTACTGTACCTTCACAGTCTACCTACTGCACCTTTGCAGTCTACCTACTGCACCTTCAGTCTACCTACTGCACCTTCGCAGTCTATTTATCGCACGTTTACAATCTACTTTACCCTCAATACTATACATATAAGTTACTTATAAACCAGGTACGAAGACAATATGTGCAGAGCAAAGTTTATAAACAATATTACACTGTAAGCTGAGTTTTATCATCAATTATTGACTAGTCAACCCCTCAACTGTGCAAATGTAGATCTACATTCGCTTGCGTAGCGCTCCGAATGTAGATCTACGTTTTTTACATGCTTTCAAATGAGGAAAATCAAAGTCGGAGGGCTACGAGCGTAAACATAGATCTACGTTTGGACAGTTTAAGAGTTAAAGCTCTGCTTAGAAGGAAATTAGTTTATAATTAGTGGTTAGTTCTGTACATAGTGACTTTCTACCATACACGTCAGAAAGTCTTGCCTCTCAAATGTTAAATTTTTGAAGCCTGAATCCAATTGGGAAGTCACAATACCGGCTGACATGGAATCACAATACAATGGCTGGAACAATTGGGAATAGTCACAATACCATGGCTGGAACAACTGGGAATAAAGTTACAATACCATGGTTGGAACAACTGGGAGTAAAAATCTACAATACCATGGCTGGAACAATTGGGAATAAGAAGTTATAATCCCATGGCTGTGGAACAATTGTGAATAAAAAGTCACAGTACCATGGCTGGAATAGCTCACAAAACACTCACGTTTAGATGAAGACTCTTATGACAGCATTTTGGTTCATCCTGAACCATTAGTTAGTTACAACCGTAAGTCTAAAACTCAGTTGCAAATTGACAATGAACCAGGATGGACTGAAACCTCCTCATGGGGTTTCTTGCCTAAGTCATGAGCATTATTTGTGAACTGAATCCAATTCTTATCATATTTTTTTCGTAATATTTACCATAGTCGCTTTACCTCACCAAATCAGAAAGAGATCGCCTTCTACCCAAGCAATTTTCCCTGATAGACAATATAATGCCCATACATTAAGTCCACGACTTACGAACACATCAGGGACCTCCTGAATTACATATAATATCATAATACAGAAGTCTTCAACTTATAAACACATTGGGGGCCTTCTGTATTGTGTATAATAATAATATTATATACAATAATGATTTTTTTTCATCAAACCGGCCATATCCCACTGAGGCAGGGTGACCTAAAAAGAAAAATGCGATTTCTTCTTTTTAAATTTAGTAATGTATACAGAAGAAGGAGTTACTAGCCCCTTGCTCCTACAATAATGATATTATACACTTGCGTATTTGTAAGTGAAGGACTTACTGTACTTGTGTTACTGGGACGTGAACACATACCTCACATCACCTGCAGTGTCCAATGTGGTGGTGAAGAAAAATTTCCTACCTGCAGAGACACTTCTGCCTTGAGAACCAGGGATGAGGCACAGAGGCAAGGATGTGAGGATGTGGGGAATAGGACATTTGTAAGCAGAGTTATGTGGATATGAAGATCAGGACATTATGAGAAAATACTGAGCTCTGAAGACTACGAAGTGCTGAGAGGACTATGGACTAAAACATGACAAGACAAAGCACTGGGAAATAATAGCTGGGACAATAAGGAAAAAAAGCTAGAACATTAGAGAAAATTGGCAAAACAAAATTTTTTCTAGGACTCGGAGAAAAAAAAAAAGAGGATGGGTGTCAAAGACTGGGACATAGTGCTAGGTGTAATGACTGGGACACAGTGCTAGGTGTAATGACTGGGACACAGTGCTAGGTGTAATGACTGGGACACAGTGCTAGGTGTAATGACTGGGACACAGTGCTAGGTGTAATGACTGGGACACAGTGCTAGGTGTAATGACTGGGACACAGTGCTAGGTGTAATGACTGGGACACAGTGCTAGGTGTAATGACTGGGACATAGTGCTAGGTGTAATGACTGGGACATAGTGCTAGGTGCAATGACTGGGACACAGTGCTAGGTGTAATGACTGGGACACAGTGCTAGGTGTAATGACTGGGACACAGTGCTAGGTGTAATGACTGGGACATAGTGCTAGGTGTAATGACTGGGACACAGTGCTAGGTGTAATGACTGGGACACAGTGCTAGGTGTAATGACTGGGACACAGCGCTAGGTGTAATGACTGGGACACAGTGCTAGGTGTAATGACTGGGACACAGTGCTAGGTGTAATGACTGGGACATAGTGCTAGGTGTAATGACTGGGACACAGTGCTAGGTGTAATGACTGGGACACAGTGCTAGGTGTAATGACTGGGACACAGTGCTAGGTGTAATGACTGGGACACAGTGCTAGGTGTAATGACTGGGACACAGTGCTAGGTGTAATGACTGGGACACAGTGCTAGGTGTAATGACTGGGACACAGTGCTAGGTGTAATGACTGGGACACAGTGCTAGGTGTAATGACTGGGACACAGTGCTAGGTGTAATGACTGGGACACAGTGCTAGGTGTAATGACTGGGACACAGTGCTAGGTGTAATGACTGGGACACAGTGCTAGGTGTAATGACTGGGACACAGTGCTAGGTGTAATGACTGGGACACAGTGCTAGGTGTAATGACTGGGACACAGTGCTAGGTGTAACGACTGGGACACAGTATTACGTATAATGAGTGAATAATTAAGTATTACAAAGCAGCGATGGTTCTAAAATCTGGGAGAAGAAGAAGTGAATCACACTGTGGCACAAGAGCTGGAGCATCACCAGGGTGTGGGGGCCCACACACGACTCAAGCACATGGGGATGGTCACTTTAAAAAAATATATGAAATATTGTATCTACATGTGTATGAGCAAGTATTTCCTACAATGATTCAAAGGTTCTGAAAGGTTTAAGGAGCTTTGAAGACCCACAAAAAATACTGTACATTTATGTTCAAAAGTATAATCATGAAAATAAGACTGTCAACTGATGAAGCACGAGTGAACATGAACAATATACATGAACAAATTGCAATAATGTTTAGAACGGAAAATATGAGCTTGTATAGTTCATTTTTGAGTTAAAAAAAAAAAACTTATACTAATCAGGCTTTACAAAAAAGAATCATTATAATCTTTAAAAGATTGTCTAAATCAAATTCAGAAATGCAAAAATTATAAATATGTATATATATAATGATAATTACTAAAATTAGGAGCACAGAGTACAAAAAAAAAAAAATATCTGAATACACAGACATTTATCACAATAGAAAATGCTTTGATAATATGGGGCATCCTGATAACCAGGGACGATAAAACTGGGATAAAAATTTTTAGCCGTACAAATGTGGAACTAAAACAGAAATTAATTAGGCAAATAATGGCACAAATGAGGAGGACCCTAGAGATGAGGTATACAATATAACTCTACATCTTGGGTGAGGACTGTGATATCTAGTCTAGTTCCAATGGCCAGACTCCAAAATCATATCCTCGTGTACGTTATCTCATCTCGCACCGTACGGGGGATCACACTGGTACACTTGTAGTCAACCAGAAGGCACAGATTTGAGAGTGTATACACTCTTGTAATCATGTATGTGAATCATCAGTGTGGCTTACATGTGCACAGGAAAGTGAATTTTGCAGGCTATATCGTACACAAGGTTGGGACTCTTATCTTGCATCCCACAAGTGTGTGACTTAACGCACTACATCCCATAAAGTTCCTCTTAACTGAACAAACTCAAGATGGAATTTGCATATGCCATTGGCTTCACTGCTGGATGAGGCTGGAAAGGAATACAAAATAAATTAATTATATCTACTGTACTTAAAATAATAATAATAATACACCTACCATCCTACTTACGACCGAGTTCGGTTCCGAGAAACCGGTTGTAAGTCGAACTTTACTACTGAATATCAACAAAACATTTTTGTAATGGCTTTATTTTATTGTTTTATTTTGGTATTTCATGGTTTACTTTACTTTTTATGTTGTTAGTACTGTGTTTTATACTGTAAGGTTTAGGATAAACACTGTGTACAACACAAATACTGGTTTATTTCCCAGAAATTTGGCATAAAAAACACGGTCGTAAGTCGAGTGGTCGTAAGTCGAGCAGGTCGTAAGTCGGATGGTAGGTGTATTAATAATAATATTAATAGTAATACATTAAGCTGTCTTGTAGAGCTTCTCTCTATAGTTCAGTTATTTTTCATGATTAAAAATGGACACCCAAAATTGAACAGAATGTGACAATGTTTAAGTAATTAAATTTTGGATGCTCTTTTTCTGTTTCATATGTAAGTAATTGCACTACAGCCTCTCCTCACTTAACGACCACGTTGTTAAATGAATTCGTCACTAAGTGAGGAGCATACTATAATGGTAGTGGGTTTGTGTCAACCATCTCTGATATTGTTTTAATGTTACCTTTGTACCATTTATAACATTTCTGGTATGTTTTTAAATGTTTATACAGCAGTGTACTGTATATTGAAATAAACAGAATAGAGGAAATCAGCTCTAATATACATTATTTATGTATGAATACTGGTCAGAGCCCATCGTTAGTCTGAGGCATTGGTAAACGAGTACGTCGCTAAATGAGGAAAGGCTGTATATATTTCATGTAATAATAATAATAATACATTTATTATGTATTATTATTATTACATTAATAAATGTATGGAAGAGGGTAAGGTACCTAGGGATTGGCAGAGAGCATGCATAGTTCTTTGTATAAAGGCAAAGGGGATAAAAGAGAGTGCAAAAATTATAGGGGGATAAGTCTGTTGAGTATACCTGGTAAAGTGTATGGTAGAGTTATAATTGAAAGAATTAAGAGTAAGACGGAGAATAGGATAGCAGATGAACAAGGAGTCTTTAGGAAAGGTAGGGGGTGTGTGGACCAGGTGTTTACAGTGAAACATATAAGTGAACAGTATTTAGATAAGGCTAATGAGGTTTTTGTGGCATTTATGGATTTGGAAAAGGCGTATGACAGGGTGGATAGGGGGGCAATGTGGCAGATGTTGCAAGTGTATGGTGTAGGAGGTAGGTTACTGAAAGCAGTGAAGAGTTTTTACGAGGATAGTGAGGCTCAAGTTAGAGTATGTAGGAAAGAGGGAAATTTTTTCCCAGTAAAAGTAGGCCTTAGACAAGGATGTGTGATGTCACCATGGTTGTTTAATATATTTATAGATGGGGTTGTAAGAGAAGTAAATGCGAGGGTCTTGGCAAAAGGCGTGGAGTTAAAAGATAAAGAATCACACATAAAGTGGGAGTTGTCACAGTTGCTCTTTGCTGATGACACTGTGCTCTTGGGAGATTCTGAAGAGAAGTTTCAGAGATTGGTGGATGAATTTGGTAGGGTATGTAAAAGAAGAAAATTGAAAGTGAATACAGGAAAGAGTAAGGTTATGAGGATAACAAAAAGATTAGGTGATGAAAGATTGGATATCAGATTGGAGGGAGAGAGTATGGAGGAGGTGAATGTATTCAGATATTTGGGAGTGGACGTGTCAGCGGATGGGTCTATGAAAGATGAGGTGAATCATAGAATTGATGAGGGGAAAAGGGTTAGTGGTGCACTTAGGAGTCTGTGGAGACAAAGAACTTTGTCCTTGGAGGCAAAGAGGGGAATGTATGAGAGTATAGTTTTACCAACACTCATATATGGGTGTGAAGCATGGGTGATGAATGTTGCAGCGAGGAGAAGGCTGGAGGCAGTGGAGATGTCATGTCTGAGGGCAATGTGTGGTGTGAATATAATGCAGAGAATTCATAGTTTGGAAGTTAGGAGGAGGTGCGGGATTACCAAAACTGTTGTCCAGAGGGCTGAGGAAGGGTTGTTGAGGTGGTTCGGACATGTAGAGAGAATGGAGCGAAACAGAGTGACTTCAAGAGTGTATCAGTCTGTAGTGGAAGGAAGGCGGGGTAGGGGTCGGCCTAGGAAAGGTTGGAGGGAGGGGGTAAAGGAGGTTTTGTGTGCGAGGGGCTTGGACTTCCAGCAGGCATGCGTGAGCATGTTTGATAGGAGTGAATGGAGACAAATGGTTTTTAATACTTGATGTGCTGTTGGAGTGTGAGCAAAGTAACATTTATGAAGGGGTTCAGGGAAACCGGCAGGCCGGACTTGAGTCCTGGAGATGGGAAGTACAGTGCCTGCACTCTGAAGGAGGGGTGTTAATGTTGCAGTTTAAAAACTGTAGTGTAAAGCACCCTTCTGGCAAGACAGTGATGGAGTGAATGATGGTGAAAGTTTTTCTTTTTCTGACCACCCTGCCTTGGTGGGAATCAGCCAGTGTGATAATAAAATAAAAAAATAATAATAATACAGTGGAACCTTAGCTTACGAGTTCAATCCGTTCTTTGACCCTGCTTGTATCCTGATCTGCTCATATGCTGAGTCAATTTTCTTCATTTAAATTAATTGAAATGCCATTAATCCGTTCCAGCAGAATTCCTGCACTGGGGAGGCAGGACGAAAATAATGTAATATGACGCTAATATCAACCCTACGGCTTATTTATCTGTCACAATTCATTTAATATGACATAATAAACAATATAATTAACATAGAAACAAGATACATACTCTAGAATGAATAAAATAAGCCATAATATGGCGAGTGGTTGCGGCGGCATCCATTCCCTCTCCCGCTCTGACTATATCTTCCCATATTGGCAGTTTGGAGGGATATGTTGTGTATCTTTATATGTATATGCTTCTAAACTGTTGTATTCTGAGCACCTCTGCAAAAACAGTGATAATGTGTGAGTGTGGTGAAAGTGTTGAATGATGATGAAAGTATTTTCTTTTCGGAGATTTTCTTTATTTTTTGGGTCACCCTGCCTCGGTGGGAGACGGCCGACTTGTTGAAAAAAAAAAAAATTATTATAACTGTGTTTGTGAGGCTAACTGCACTAGTTTCATAAATAAGAAATATTGTATAAAAACATAATAGAGAATGTAAAGACAAAGTGGTTTTTATAAAGTGTACATATGTTGGTGGAGGTGGAGGGTGGAGGTGGAGAGTGGAGGTGGAGGGTGGAGGTGGAGGGTGGAGGTGGAGGGTGGAGGTGGAGGGTGGAGGGTGGAGGTGGAGAGTGGAGGTGGAGGATGGAGCGTGGAGGTGGAGGATGGAGCTGGAGGATGGAGCTGGAGGGTGGAGGTGGAGGTGGAGGGTGGAGGTGAAGGGTGGAGGTGGAGAGTGGAAGATAGGCTACTGCTACCAGCTCCGACTGCCACCTCCTCGCTTGTTTATCTATGATTTCGTGCTGTAATTCCATGGACATCATCCTCTTTTTCTTCTCAGAACTGTCCTTTGCACTTACTTTCTTAGGACCCATGGTAAGAAAAAAGAAATTTGGCAATAATAACACGAGAAATGCTTCCACGGTGACATAAACACACTGTACAGCTCGGCTGATGTTGTGGCGACGACTGTGCCACCTAGTGGCGATGTTCTGAAACTCGCTCATTATTATTAATATAGAGAACTGGAGCACAGATCCAACTCCCTAGATCAAGAGCCCCTCACCAGCATCAAGGAACCTCCCTTGAGGGGAAAGCTTGCATCCTGAATTTTTGCTCATATCCAGAAACAAAAAATCAACCGAGCGACTACTCGAATCCTGAAAAACTCGTATACCAAGGTTTCACCATACTATAATAACCTTGTACAGCAGTTCCATAGCATACAATTTGTTGGGAATAAAATGGCCATTATTTGAACAATAAATAAGTAAATGGGTGAAATCTAAATGAACATCAAACATCGTAACAGTTACACAAATATTTCCATTTTGTAATGCAGCCACAGTTACACTGTAACATCAGGTGGCCCGGTGGCCTGGTGGCTAAAGCTCCCGCTTCACACACGGAGGGCCCGGGTTCGATTCCCGGCGGGTGGAAACATTCGACACGTTTCCTTACACCTGTTGTCCTGTTCACCTAGCAGCAAATAGGTACCTGGGTGTTAGTCGACTGGTGTGGGTCGCATCCTGGGGGACAAGATTAAGGACCCCAATGGAAATAAGTTAGACAGTCCTCGATGACGCACTGACTTTCTTGGGTTATCCTGGGTGGCTAACCCTCCGGGGTTAAAAATCCGAACGAAATCTTATCTTATCTTATCTTATCAGAGGGTCACACAACACTGACGAGTCAATGGAGAACTGCACATTAACCCTGAGGCATGTGTACCACACGCCTCAGGCCTCCTCAGTTCCAGAGGAGACATAGTAGACAAGACAGGCAGACCTGGGCTTCTCCTACAAGACTCTCATAATTATATGCCTTCAGACATCCAACGTGTGTATTTGTTACTCCAATATCTCCTCATGAACCCACCCCCTGACGCACACAGACAGACACAAAGACAGGATGTTCCAGAGATGGGACACAGAAACAAGGGGTCACAACCGGAAGTTGAAGACTCAGATGAGTCAAAGGGATGTTAGGAAGTATTTCTTCAGTCATAGAGTTGTCAGGCTGGAACAAGTGTAGAAGCCTTCAAGATATCAAACACTGCTGGAACAAGTGTAGAAGACTTCAGGATATCAGAAACACTGCTGGAACAAGTGTAGAAGACTTCAGGATATCAGAAACACTGCTGGAACAAGTGCAGAAGACTTCAGGATATCAGAAACACTGCTGGAACAAGTGTAGAAGACTTCAAGATATCAGAAACACTGCTGGAACAAGTGTAGAAGTCTTCAAGATATCAGAAACACTGCTGGAACAAGTGTAGAAGTCTTCAAGATATCAGAAACACTGCTGGAACAAGTGTAGAAGACTTCAAGATATCAGAAACACTGCTGGAACAAGTGTAGAAGACTTCAGGATACCAGAAACACTGCTGGAACAAGTGTAGAAGTCTTCAAGATACCAGAAAAACTGCTGGAACAAGTGTAGAAGACTTCAAGATATCAGAAACATTGCTGGAACAAGTGTAGAAGAATTCAAGATATCAGAAACACTGCTGGAACAAGTGTAGAAGACTTCAAGATATCAGAAACACTGCTGGAACAAGTGTAGAAGACTTCAAGATATCAGAAACACTGCTGGAACAAGTGTAGAAGACTTCAAGATATCAGAAACACTGCTGGAACAAGTGTAGAAGACTTCAAGATATCAGAAACACTGCTGGAACAAGTGTAGAAGACTTCAAGATATCAGAAACACTACTGGAACAAGTGTAGAAGTCTTCAAGATATCAGAAACACTGCTGGAACAAGTGCAGAAGTCTTCAGGATATCAGAAACACTGCTGAAACAAGTGTAGAAGTCTTCAGGATATCAGAAACACTGCTGGAACAAGTGTAGAAGTCTTCAGGATATCAGAAACACTGCTGGAACAAGTGTAGAAGTCTTCAAGATATCAGAAACACTGCTGGAACAAGTGTAGAAGTCTTCAAGATATCAGAAACACTGCTGGAACAAGTGTAGAAGACTTCAAGATATCAGAAACACTGCTGGAACAAGTGTAGAAGACTTCAAGATATCAAAAACACTGCTGGAACAAGTGTAGAAGTCTTCAAGATATCAGAAACACTGCTGGAACAAGTGTAGAAGACTTCAAGATATCAGAAACACTGCTGGAACAAGTGTAGAAGACTTCAAGATATCAAAAACACTGCTGGAACAAGTGTAGAAGACTTCAAGATATCAGAAACACTGCTGGAACAAGTGTAGAAGACTTCAAGATATCAGAAACACTGCTGGAACAAGTGTAGAAAATTTCACAAAACCAAATCATCAGATAACTGAGGCATGTGAAAACTGTGGATAACTGAAACCATGGATGCCAAATCAGTGGATATGAGGGTTCTACTGTATTTAGTTATGCAATACAACTGCAAACATGTGATCTTGACAGTGCAGAAAAAGCCACATAGAGATGGAAATCTTTAGCTCTAGATGTTTTGCACTCTTGTGTCGCCAGACACTATGCAATGTAGCAAGATTAACAACAGACAGGAGGGAATATACTTTCTGAGTAGTGGTAGAAGTGTATCACTTTTCCCTCAGAGAGAATTTCCCCTCCTATCTGTTGCTAGTCTTGGACCAAGGCATAGCCCCTGAAGACACACGAGAGTGCGAAAGATCTAGAGCTAATGATTTGCATCCTTGTGTAGCATATTTAGTTATTACCGGGTAATTTTACGCATCACAATCCACATGAAACAGAATTTGATTTAATACCGATGAAGGGAGAAGTACAACGATAAAGAAGACACTTACCACGGCTTCATATGTTGTATATCTCGGCTTCAGGTCTTTACCATTCATAGTGATAAAAGCTCCTTTGTTACCCATTGTGTCGCTGAAATGAGAAAAACCGCAGTGAATTAAAGTGTATTGGTTCAAGCAGTCAGAAGTCAGATCTTTTATAGAGCTCCTTTATATAGTAAAGCATTTTTGTAAATGCAATTAAAAAAAAGTACATTCAAAATCGATAAAGCCTTCATAGTACATATATAATTTTGGATGCCCATTTTGAACTGCATAATCCATCAGCTGTCCAAACGTAGATCTACATTTGCCCCAATAGCACTCCGAACGTAGATCTACGTTTCATTTTATGTATATGCTTTCAAATGTAAAAAAAAAAAAAAAAAAAAAGTAGATCTACGTTCAGAGCACTAGTAGTGCAAACGTAGATCTATGTTTGGACAGTTTAAGAGTTAATAAGAGACGCAACTGTACCAAAGAGAATAATCGGATTCATTTGACACAAACAAATTCATTTAAAACAAAGAAGAATAATAAATTTCTTTGACAATAATAATTCAATTAACACACACAGAAAAAATAATTCACGTAACACGGAAATTCACTAACGAATGTATAAAAACTGCTGATGTCTTTATCAGCCTACACAAGTAACAACATACAGTGGAACCTCAAATATCGAACTTTCTTCAGCCCAGAAGGCTGTTCAAATGCCTTTACCGAATTAATTTATTCCCATCAGGAATAATGTAAATTAGATTAGTCCATTTCAGACCCTCAAAAATACACTTATAAAAGCACTTACAAAAATACACTTACATAGTTGGTTGTGTTTGGAGCAGTTCAATTTTTGAGGTTCCACTGTATTTTATACCATTCATCTGTTATGTGTGTATGAACACTATCCAACACACCCTGTCTATATAAATGCTTTATACCAGCCACATACTGTATTTTTTTTTTCAACACACCAGCTGTCTCCCATCGATTCAGAAAAAGAAGAAATGAAAGTTGTTCTTTTTATATTTGTTTTGAAAATTCTTGGACCCTGATAGTTATAAAGTGGCATTTTTTTGTGTGTGTGTGAAATTGGCAAAAGTACCAATTTCTAATCACTTTATTGGGCTGTTGAAATAGTTAAATGGATGGTTTATTGTACTCGGTCGATAAAATGGAACTGGCTGAAAACAGGACTCAAAAGTGGGTAAAATTACCAATGTGTAAATATCACCGAGACTGCAAACCTTGCATTGCAAAAGCGTAATTCCATAAGTTTTCCATCAAATTTTATACTTTTGGTGTCTTTTTTTCTTTTAACAAGTCAGCTGTCTTCCACCGAGGCAGGGTGACCCAAGAAGAAAGAAAATCCCCAAAAAGAAAATACTTTCATCATCATTCAACACTTTCACCTCACTCATACATAATCACTGTTTTTGCAGAGGTGCTCAGAATACAACAGTTTAGAAGTATATACATATAAAGATACACAACATATCCCTCTGAACTGCCAATATCCCGAACCCCTCCAGTGCAGGCATTGTACTTCCCATTTCCAGGACTCAAGTCCGATTATATAAAATAACCGGTTTCCCTGAATCCCTTTACTAAATATTACCCTGCTCACACTCCAACAGCTCGTCAGGTCCCAACTACCATTCGTCTCCATTCACTCCTATCTAAAATGCTCACCCACGCTTGCTGGAAGTCCAAACCCCTCACCTACAACACCTCCTTTACCCCCTCTCTCCAACCCTTTCGAGGACGACCCCTACCCCGCCTTCCTTCCTCTACAGATTTATACACTCTCCATGTCATTCTACTTTGATCCATTCTCTCTAAATGACCAAACCACCTCAACAACCCCTCTTCAGCCCTCTGACTAATACTTTTATTAACACTCCGAATTTTCTGCATAATATATACACCACACATTGCCCTTAGACAGGACATCTCCACTGCCTCCAGCCGCCTCCTCGCTGCAACATTCACAACCCAAGCTTCACACCCATATAATAGTGTTGGTACTACTATACTTTCATACATTCCCTTCTTTGCCTCCATAGATAACGTTTTTTGTCTTCACATATACCTCAACGAACCACTCGCCTTTTTTCCCTCATCAATTCTATGATTAACCTCATCCTTCAAAGGTCCATCCACTGATACATCAATTCCCAAATATCTGAAAACATTCACTACTTTTGGAAAAAGATTCTCTATCATTTAAAAAAAAAAAAAAAAAAAAAAAAAAAAAAAAAATTGATATTCTTGGACCCTGAGATCAATTTTCAAATGAAAGGTCTGGACCCTGAAAGGGTTAAAAATGGTGACAAAGTCGGGAATTTAAAAAATAAGAATCCGAGATGGTGGAGAATCTTTTTTCTGAGGTGATGTCACTAAAAATACAAAATTTGATAGAAAACTTATGGAATTACATAAATGCCAATTTGAAGGTCTGGGCACAATATAAGTACAGTGGACCCCCGCCTTACGATCAGCTCCCAACTCGAACAATTATGCAAGTGTATTTTTGTAAGTGCTTTTGTACATGTATTTTTGGGGGTCTGAAATGGACTAATCTAATTTACAATATTTCTTATGGGAACAAATTCGTTCGGTAACGGCACCCGAACAGACTTCTGGAATGAATTAATATCGTAAGTTGGGGGTCAACTGTATTGCCAATTTCACCAACTTAAGTTCTATTATATACCAATTTCATTGCTCACGTTGACCAGATTCCTACCTAATTTGCTAGAATGCTTTCTGTTCTATCGACTGAGAACAAGAAACTGCCCATTCAACTGTTAACCCTTTCAGGGTCGACAGGCCCTCTCAGAGACTTGTTCTCAGGATCCCCCAAATTTAAAAAAAAAACGATTTTTCTTATGAAAAGATAGAGAATCTTTTCTGATCCTAATGACGCCAAAAGTATGAAATTTGATGGAAAACTTACAGAATTATGCTCTCACGAAGTTAGCGGTCTCAGCGATGTTTACGCATCGGCGATTTTGCCCACTTTGAGCCCTATTTTCAGCCAATTCCAGTGTACTAGTCGACAAAACTCATAACCATTTTGCTAGAACTCCATTTTTTCTATCAACTGAGTACAAGAAACCACCCATTTACCGATTTCAACTATCCAACACAGTGGTCAGAATTTAGCAATTTTACCAATTTCACACAAATTTCAAAAGATGCCCATTTCCAAATAGGGTCCAGAATAAACAAGAAAGACATTCCTGGCACTAAAATCACATTTTCTCTGTTAATTAGTCACGTCCCCAGGCCCCTCTTACATTCTTTTGCTTTCTATTTTGAATTTTTATTCTCACAAAAAATAGAAGATTTACTGTTATGCAGACTACTGCATTAGTGTAGAAATGGTATAAATAATATTGGCACACTTGTGAAAGAATATCAGACTCACCAGTTGGCGTGTATTGGACGCTTAGCATGATTTGTTTACTTTTGAGCTTTGGTAAAAATCAAACATTTCTGCTACTTTGAGCTCAATTTCAAGGTACTTTTCACTCTAAAACCAGTCAAAAATCATCTCAATTTGTGTAATATGTCTTCCATTCTATAAAATGAGACCAGGAAAACTAGAATACAACAATAAAAACCATATGAAAATACAGTGCAAAGTCGCTGTTTTAATCCAAAAACACGGTCGAAGTTTTTTTTCTCATTACGCACTGTGTGCTGCAGGATTTTTTTTATAGTGCGCACACTGACCACATAGACCCATTCTTTCATATGTAGGCCTACCAGCTTTCTCTCACTAGATTTGAAGGCGCTAGAATTCATGTGTACTAGTACATGAAGGACCCAGGCGCGTAAGCCGTACTAGTACAGCCGAAACCCTGAAAGGGTTAAAGATTCCCTATAAAGTGTGCCAATTTTAAACAAATTAAAAAATAAATCCGAATTACAGAGCCCAAAATTAACTCTGTAGGCTCCTGCCACTAAAACAACCGTTACTCTGTTCATTAATCACATCCTCAGACCTCTCCTACATTACACTTGCCCTCCGTTGTAATTCATCACCACACAAACATCATATTTTACGCTATTCCCTGGATAATGAAATATAACCAGGAATGATTGGTCATAGTTTAATGCATCCTGATAACTGAAACAGATCTATTTAAAAACTCGTAAAACAGATTGGTAGGGGGAGGGGGGGCCCTTACTTGTCCATTAGCAAATTGTCAACAATTGAATATTTCCACTACTTTAAGCCCAATGTCAGGCTATTTCTAGCCCTTAACCCGTAAACGGTCCAAACGTATATATACGTTTTTTCAACATTTGAAAGTATGTAAAAACAGCAGATCTTCTTTTTGTTTTTTTTTACATTTGAAAATGTGTAAAAAAACTTTGATCTACTTTTTTTTTTATATTTGAAAATATGTAAAAAAAAAAACGTAGATCTACTTTTGTACACTACACATGTGAACGTAGATCTGCTTGGACCGTTTACAGGTTAAGTAGTATCTCTTCCAATTTATCAAACAATACCAAGAAATAGCCAATAAATCCATAAAACTCATTCTAGAAAACACGTCATAGTTGAACCAAACACAAGGTCAGAGTTACTTTTCCGATCATGCACCACGTACGGCACGATTGATTTTTATATCATGTACACTCGCCGCACAGACCCATTTTCTCATGTCTTGGCCAAAATTTAACATTCACAGCTTATATAAGGACGCCTTGCTTAAAACACAGATGTACTTGAGTGACACTGGCACCGATAACTTAGATTTACGGAAGTGACAGTGAAGGGGTTTTGAGAAGTATGGAAAAAGCAATATGATTTGGGCTAAACCAGGAGGTGACTTTGGTTTCATTACATTCGAAGAGGAGTCGACTAGGTCTGCAGTTGTCCTTGGACCTCATATTGTTAATGGTAAAGAAATTATAGCTGAATTGCCTGGATCAGTACAAGCTTTTGTAGATCTGTACAAGTGAGAAACACAGCATTACACTTATAAACTTAGCAGTAATTAGGTACTGAGAAGATGGTAATACAGTGATACCTTGAGTGTCAAATAGTTCCCAACTCGAATAATTATGTAAGTGTGTTTTTGTATGTGCTTTTGTGAGTGTATTTTTGGGGGTCTGAAATGGACTAATCTAATTTACATTATTCCTTGTGGGAACAAATTCGTTTGTTATCGGCACTTGAACAGCCTTATGGAACAAATTAAGTTCGTAATTTGAGGTACCACTGTACATGTAAACATACCAATAATTAGGTGCAGAGAAGACAGTAATACATTTGCCATCGTGGGCCACCTCGTAGCCCTCGGCTTTGACTTCGTGAGAACGGATAACATACTCCAGGTTGTTCCTCTCCAGGAATCTCTTGGTGACGTCTGGACCAAACTGGATGCCCACACCGCGCTTGCTGGGAGCTAAACCCACACCAGGCATCGGGTCACTCCATAGCAGCTCGCACATAATGCCTGATTGATACATCATTATTATTATTATTATTATTATTATAATTATTACGCAAATAACCCACACATAGGAGACAAAACTTACAACAGTGTAACACTCTGACTTGGGCCATTAACTAAGTGGACCACAATGTTGTCATATAATCAATACATAATTATCATTACACAACCCACATATAAGTGAAAGGCACTTACGGCAACGTTTCAGTCCGACTCAGACAATTAACTAGTTGGACCAAAACATCAACATAAGCTTGTTTCCTATATGTAATAAAGTTGGTAGAATTACCGACAATATGTAAGGTAATAGGACACAAGTGCAACTAATGTGACATTTTATTGTGGCAACGTTTCGCTCTCCAGGAGCTTTATCAAGCCATTACAAACAATACATGGACACAGAGGGTATATAAAGGCTCAGAGTGAGGTGCAATACTAGTGAGATACCATTTAGATGTTCACTAGTGGTAGTAGTAGTAGTAGTAGTAGTAGTAGTGACAAAAGTTGTAGTAGTAATACAATATGGTAGAGCAATTAATTCGTACATGAGTAAAAGCTATTACTTGGGTAACATAAAAATAGGTTGGACAAATATAGACTGGAAAGAGGCAGGTTGTTTCAGTGTTCACTCTCTGTAATGTGCTTTGTGTAGTATAACAGGAGAGACTATGTGATGGCAGGGTTTACTGTTTTCAGGAGGATTCTTGCTAAGACTTCAGAGATGGTGAAGCTGCCGTTGTTTTGTTTAATTGTATTCGAAACAGCGATCAGTGCTGATTCGAGGCACTTGCGTCTGCGGAAATTAGTTTCTTTAATCACTAATTGGGCCTCTCTGAATTTCATGAGATGATTGGTAGAATTTCGGTGTTGTACACAGGCGTTGTTCAAGTTATCGTTCCTACATGCGTACATGTGTTCATTGAGGCGAGTGTCGAGGTTTTTGCTGTTTCACCTACGTAAATCTTGTCACAGCCTCCACAGGGTATAGTGTAAACTCCTGCGTTGACTGGTTCGTGGTGCTTGGATTCTGTTCTGGTTAGATCCTTTATTGAAGTGCTAGAAGCAATGGCGACTCTGGTGTTAGCTTGTGAAAGTACTTTTGAAACGTTCAGTGCAACCTGGCTGTTGGAAAGAATTATAACTTTGTTGGGAGTGGTGTTGGTGCGTGGAGAATTAATGATCTGAAGAGCTCTTTTCTTGCAGTCTTTGATGAAAAAGGAAGGAAAATGTAACTCAGTGAATGTTTGGTGAATGTATGTACATTCCTCGTCAAGAAACTCAGGACTACAAATTCGGTATGCTCTTAGGAAAAACCCGATGATGATGCCTCTTTTGGTCTTGGTATCTTGACTGGAATAGAAGTGTGTGAGATCATTTTTATTGGTGGGTTTCCGATAAACTTGAAATCTTAGGTTGTTGTCTACTTTGTGAATGAGGACGTCGAGGAAAGGTAGCTTGTCATTGGACTCTTCTTCTAGTGTAAACTGGATCGCCGGTTCAACTGCGTTGAGCCTTGCCTGTAGATTCCGTACATCAAAACGTTTGGGGGTTATTACGAGGACGTCGTCCAAGTATCGTAACCAAGTGACGCTTGAAGGGATGATGTTGGCGAAGTGTTCGGACTCTAGGTGTTCCATGTATAAGTTGGCTAGGACAGCACTGATGGGGGACCCCATTCCCATGCCATAGGTTTGTTTGTAGAGCTTGTTATTGAAAGAAAAACAGTTGAAATTAACACAGAGTTCAATCAAGTCAACAAAACCTCCGGGAGCTAGAGGAAGATTAAGGTCCTGATTGACTTTACGTCGTAGAACCTCGATGGCTTTTTTGGTAGGTACTTTTGTGAAGAGGGAAGTCACATCCAAACTGCTTAGTTTCTTGTTACGGATGGAGAGGTTTCGGAAGCGGTTGAGAAGGTCGCCTGAGTGTTTAAGATGAGCGGGGCTGATGGTCCCCAGAAGGCAGGAAAGATGTTTGGCAAGAACTCCGGCTAGTTTGTGTGGAGCACTGCCTATTCCTGACGTTGATAAATTAGACACATGTGCAACTCTTGGGTATCTTTATTGAGGAAACGTTTCGCCACACAGTGGCTTCATCAGTCCATACGTAGGAAAAACTTGAAGAACAGGAGGAGAATGAGGTAATCAGTCCCTCAACCTTGAACACATCGACTCAAGGTTGAGGGACTGATTACCTCATTCTCCTCCTGTTCTTCAAGTTTCTCCTACGTATGGACTGATGAAGCCACTGTGTGGCGAAACGTTTCCTCAATAAAGATACCCAAGAGTTGCATATGTGTCTAATTTATCAACATGTCGGTTCTCTGAACCATTCATCTATATTCCTGACGTGATTGGTCTGAGAGGAATATTGTTTATGGGTCTTGGGTAAACCATACATGTAAACCAGACAAATACTCTAATGCACTAGAGAAGGGAAGAAACTTCTGTACTTGTTACCAAGCAACCCTAAACCAGCACACATGTATGGTTTACCCAAGACGTTTCAAAAGTACTTTCACAAGCTAACACCAGAGTCGCCATTGCTTCTAGCACTTCAATGAAGGATCTAACCAGAACAAAATCCAAGCACCACGAACCAGTCAACGCAGGAGTTTACACTATACCCTGTGGAGGCTGTGACAAGATTTATGTAGGTGAAACAGCAAAAACCTCGACACTCGCCTCAATGAACACATGTACGCATGTAGGAACGATAACTTGAACAACGCCTGTGTACAACACCGAAATTCTACCAATCATCTCATGAAATTCAGAGAGGCCCAATTAGTGATTAAAGAAACTAATTTCCGCAGACGCAAGTGCCTCGAATCAGCACTGATCGCTGTTTCGAATACAATTAAACAAAACAACGGCAGCTTCACCATCTCTGAAGTCTTAGCAAGAATCCTCCTGAAAACAGTAAACCCTGCCATCACATAGTCTCTCCTGTTATACTACACAAAGCACATTACAGAGAGTGAACACTGAAACAACCTGCCTCTTTCCAGTCTATATTTGTCCAACCTATTTTTATGTTACCCAAGTAATAGCTTTTACTCATGTACGAATTAATTGCTCTACCATATTGTATTACTACTACAACTTTTGTCACTACTACTACTACTACTACTACTACCACTAGTGAACATCTAAATGGTACCTCACTAGTATTGCACCTCACTCTGAGCCTTTATATACCCTCTGTGTCCATGTATTGTTTGTAATGGCTTGATAAAGCTCCTGGAGAGCGAAACGTTGCCACAATAAAATGTCACATTAGTTGCACTTGTGTCCTATTACCTTACACATTGTTTCCTATATGCGAGTTATTTTTGTATTGTTCCAGTCATAGAAAGTGCCTCTTTGTTAATTATAATTAATTAATGATAATTATCATTATGCTCATGAGGAAGTACTTAACCCTTAGAGGTGTAACAAATCGAACATGACACGACATACAGTAAACACTCTTCAAATTCATTACATACAGTACAATCTCTTAAAAAGCTCCTCTCTAGACTAATTTTTTGCAAGCGTTACAAAAAAATCTGAATAACATGAGATATTCTGTCTTCAATGTACAGAGGAGCTTGATAAGAAGTGACGGTATATTTTACATTCAACCAACAAGCAAAGTTTAAGATGACCTTTGATATACATTTGACGAGTTCCAAGAGTCTCGCTACTCTCGGAGCCATTTCCTAAAATAAATAAATATATTCACTACTCACTATAAGCTAAGAATAAAAATATTTTAGAGCAATTTGTGTACTGTATATGCATATTTTATGCCTAGCTTCATTGCTCACTTAATATATGATAGTGAAAACATGAAAGTATTGGTTTGGAAATAGGGTAGTTGATGAGTGGAACAGTCTACCTAGTTGGGTTATTGAGGCTAGGACTTTGGGAAGTTTCAAATTTAGGTTGGATAAATACATGAGTGGGAGGGGTTGGATTTGAGTGGGACTTGCACATCAGAGCTTATTTCTTGGGTGGCATTGAAAATTGGGTTGGGCAAATGTTTGTTAGTGGGATGAATTGTAAAGGACCTGCCTAGTATGGGCCAACAGGCCTGCTGCAGTGTTCCTCCTTTCTTATGTTCTTATGTTCTTAACTAGTTATTAAAGAAGACGACTTATTTCTTGGGTAGCATTGAAAATTGGGTAGGTCAAATGTTTGTTAGTGGGATGAATTGTAAAGGACCTGCCTAGTATGGGCCAACAGGCCTCCTGCAGTGTTCCTCCTTTCTTATGTTCTTATGCTTCACTTTACAGCAATTTTTGCTTTACTGCAGTAGCCTGGAACCTAACCTGCTGTATAATAATAATAATAATAATATCTTTATTTACTACAAGTACATGTACATGGTATATAGGCCTAGTTGACAACAATGACATACTACTACATAGAAAGCCCCCTTGTTATGCTCCGCATGTCGGGCAAATTAGGTCAGTGTCCCAGGATGCGACCCACACCAGTCGACTAACACCCAGGTACCCATTTTACTGATGGGGAACATAAACAACAGGTGGAAAGAAACACGTCCAATGTTTCTACTCTGGCTGGGAACCCCTGTGTGCACATTAAACAGGTATAGTGCCGTGATCCATTATGTGCCTCTAATGTTGAAGTACAGTCCCTGGACCCATTATGTGCTTCTGTAATGTTGAGATACAATCCCTGGACCCACTATGTGCTTCTGTAATGTTGAGATACAATCCCTGGACCCACTATGTGCTTCTGTAATGTTGAGGTACAGTCCCTGGACCCATTATGTGCTTCTGTAATGTTGAGGTACAGTCCATGGACCCATTATGTACCTCTGTAATTTTAAGGTACAGTCCTTGGACCCATTATGTACCTCAGTAATCTTCTGAATACCATCCATAACATGGGTATAGTGTGTTTAATAAAGCTATTGAAGAAACTAGTTAAAAGCAACACTTGTGTATTTAATCCACAGAGTAACTGGGATTCACGCCCACCTTATACCTTTGA